ATGGCCCGCCCTATTGCGAGTAAAGTAGCGCCCCTTTAACGGCGCGACAGCTGCATTTGTCGCAACGGCATGTACGGTCGCGTGCTAGATCGGTCCCCGAGGGCGATGTCCGTAGTAGGACCCCAGTCTCGCACTGCGCAAAATGTTGATTTTCTCGGCGAGAGCGAGAATCTCGTTAAGATTCGAGAGTCCGCGTAGCATGATTTGGTACAATATGTCTGGCTTCAGCCCTCCGATGTGTCGGTCCGCCCGCTCCTCTTCGTGCATGTAGCCAAATTGCTCGCATAATGCGGGAAAACCGCTAGTATAGTCTTGAATCGACCCAAGCTGCCGCCAAGTACGCAATCTCTAACGCGCCGAAATAGAATCCGCGATCGGCTCGAAGCGCGCCCGAAGCCCTGCGCACCACGCATCCCACGTGCTGTACTGGGCGGTTTTGCAGAATGAGCTCCACGTGACGGCTGAACCCGTGGGCCCTTCCTCTTGCGACGGTGGCTCATAGGCGCGTGGCGACGTCACGATGACTCGCCACCAGTCCATGGCGGGGCCCTTCCGCAGCGAGACGGCGTATCTGATCTTCGCTGCGTCCAACTCGACGTAATTCGCGTCGAAGAAGACGTTCATCGCGAAGACCCACGATGGAATCGTCGGACCTCTACGCTGGCTTGGGTCGAAGCAGGGCGGGCGCTGCGGCTTGAGTGGCATAGGTGCCATGGTGGCGTGGTCACCACTTGTCGCCGCGAATTCCACGTGCCGACGGGCTTCACGAGGCTCCCGCGGGCTTGGCGCGACCCTGTTCCTCTCCATGCCAGGCATCGAGTGGGCCGCGCCATCACTGGCTGCGCTTGAGCGCTGTCCCACGTTGTCATTTTGCGTCGGTGTGCCTGATGAGATGACGATCGGCTCCTCCGATTGTGCGGAGTCACGTTTCGCCGTGAGTGTCGCAATTTCGAGCGCCATTCTTCGACTTGACGCACGAGACGATCGAGTTGCTCCTGCGTCAGTATCGCGAGAGTGATTTCGGCCATGGCGGGGGTGTCGGTCAAGCTTAGCGAGAGCCTCTGTCGTGGCCGTGCGTGCTTACGAGAGAGCACTACGAGCGGTAGTGTTGTTTCGCCGAGAGACGTGTACCCCCTCCAAAAAATTGAGATAGTGGGGAAGCGGAGGTGTGGGTGCGGTCCGAGAAGAGATCGTAGGCTCTGAATACCAAGCGTTACGAGTGCAATGAGCGAGCGAACGAGAATTGCACTATCGAAGCAAAATAGTAAATGAGCGAGAACTAAATAGCGAAGGCCATAGTGGTAACGGTAACGAACTGTGGGTGATGCGGGACGGGCCTGGAACTGTGGTCGGGACTGTGGTTGGAGAATGTCGAGGCGGAGGCCCGTAGCGCGGGTTATTCGCCGAGCCGTGAGGTCGGGGTGCGACGTGCGAAGGTGGCGGGAGGATTGTCGAAGCGAGGGTTTGCGAGTGGTAACGGTGCTGACTGTGGTGTTACAGTTATGTACGTGCTAAGCAGGGATGCGGCGTAAGGAAATGGAAATTTCCTTACAGCCTCCTATATATGAGTGCTTTGTGTTGCTTTTATTCAAATAACATCTTGTTCCAATTATACTGTTCATCAGCCAACTATTTCAGAACCCCCACAACAGTTCCACACGAACAGGCCCCGCAAACCATCACGTGTCTTTGTCCCACGACAGCCCATACCCCCGCCTTCATCGCCTGCAACGCCGCCGACGGTCGTTCCCGAATTAATATCCGACAAATCGCTCGCACCATCTTCACTCCATCATACCGTCGGTGGTAAACATGCCGTACGAATCGCTCCCTCCATTCGTTCTGATCGCGTCGATGCTGTGCGCCGCGGGTGGCATCCAGCACCTTGTCAACCGGACCCTGTACGGCAAGGTACACCTCTTTAAGAAGGCCTCCTAATTTCCGTTCCATTCTTATGTTTGTAATTTGGAATGGGGGCTCGCGCGTCGCGGCCAAATCATCGTTTGTAGGTAACCCTATTATAGAAACTTAGGGCTGGATTTGCACGACTGGGGTAACAAGGGTAGTCCAGATCCGTGTGTTGTAGGGACGGAACCATTTACTTGTGCGAGGTGGTTCACTTGGGACGGAACTACTTACTGATTGCATGTCAACTTTCATGGATCCACCTTCAGGGTTCGATGCGCACCGTTGGTGACAGTGGTATCGGTTCTCCCTTCTTGTTGTCCTGGGCGTGTCATGCGTATGGGGAATTATTGGTGGTTGCGATGCGTGGGGTGTGTACGATGCGTGCGATGGGTGCGTTGCCATGCGTGGTGAGTGCAGCCGAAGCACCCGAACTCGGACGCATGGGACTACGCCATGGAGGCGCGTGACAAGCGGCTGGTGGAGGAAACACGTGCTCGGGTATGAACTGTCGAGCCTGGCCTTTGCTCATCTCATTGATGCTGTTGTGGTTTAGGCTCCCGCTATTGTCATGTTCAGTTTGGATCCACAGTGACATTACAGGCTGAGCATTCTGTTCTTTGTTATTGCTTTCTTGCGTCCATTCCCTGCCTCCCCATGCTACAGCGTTGACTCCATTGGGCTTCCAGTATCAATCTTTCCGTGTGATCTAGCATGAAGCGGGTACATCATTCGTTGTCTGAAATGTTCAGCATATTGTAAGAAATAAGCACCTTCTACTGTCTGATAGGTTGGGGGTGGGCAGGGCCGTGACTCGTGGTGCTGCTGTGATTGCCCTTGGATTATGCTGCTATTTGGAGCATTTAAGCTACGGTACCCAATCTGATCTGAACACTGGGTCTCTGATGGCATTGTGTTTCCTGGTGGAGAGGTCCAGCCGCCACACTCATCAAAATTAAGCTGGTGGTTATGTAATTGGATGCATTGTCTTGTTTTCTGTGGGCACTTTGTCCTGGTATGGTATGGTAAGAATGCATGCCCGGTGCCGCACTGACCAGGATTAATCCTCCTGACAGGCCTTCGTTGGGGAGGGGAGTTGCGTTCACCAGATGTACCGTTTTTGCCCGGAACTTAGTCGAGAGGGCAATACCGTGTAGGCAAATTATTGCAGCCTTAAATTGAAGTCTAGAACCGTAGTAGTAACGTACCAGTAAATTACAAACAATGCTGAACCAGAGTGGGAGCCCTAACTGTGTCAGGTTGGTTGGACCAAGGCCAAGGTACTGTGCTGCTGGCACAGTCTACACTTATCAAAAAGTGACTTCAGCTAGGCATGTGCAGGGGTTGAGGTGATGGGCTCCAAATTGCCACCAGAGAGTTTTATCTTGTGTAGCTATTTCACTTGAATTTCTTTATTCATGTCAGACTAAAGGGCTATAAGCAGACCCAAGTCGAAGTTCTTCTGTCTATAAATGCGAGCCCCAAGCATATGGATATCCACACTCAATCGGAGATAATGACTCACGTACCTTGTTCCGATATCATGTTCCACGAGTGTTCCGCATTGGACCAATCACTCCCGTCGAAATGATTTTTATCCACTCCGTACAGCGAGCTCCAGGTCATCACACTGCCTTGAAATGGTAGAAATATCGGAAACTCGAATTTGACGGTTGTTTCCAGTTCACCCCTCTTTCGCTCTCCGCAAGCTGCCTTCAACGGCTCGTTTCGTCTCGCTGGGCTCAAATTCATCTGCCACTGACACACAGGAACTGCCCGTTGATTCAAGCGGCGTCGCTTGTGTCAGATGGGCGTCGGTTTGACGAAACTTCCGTCAAGAAGGTGCTCATTCGGATTGCCGACGCTGATTGCCCATCGCTGATTTGGAGCACCCGAACTAAAAAGGTCGTGTAACCAATCAGAATTCTCCAGAAGGTTGAAGGTGTGGGGGAAATCGTCGCACAAAGCCGCTCTCGACGGAGTACACGTTAGGCTTGACCCCGTGTCTGTGGGGTTACGCTCCCCTTCACTGGCGCAGGCACAACTGGATGGCTGTGCGACTCAGCGCCACGAACCATCCTTGTCGTCTGCACTGAACCATTCGTCTTCTGACGCCCGACGACAGTTCTCTTTGCGACCGATGAAGGTCCAGCCAGTGTCGCAGGCAATCTGTGGAGTGAGCGGACTTTCACTACCCTTCTTCGCCAGCAACCAGCTCCCTGACTTCGCAGCTCGCAATTCGTAATTCCCTTTCGCGTCGGAAAGGAACGCGTCGTGTCGCCGTCAGCGTGTCGCACGGAGGAAGTGCGGGAAACAGGCGCAATTCGGAAAGGCGCCTTTTCCTCCACTGCCCTCCCATCCCAACCCATCCCATAATTCCTTCCCCTGCCTGTTCTTTTTTCGCGCGCTGCTGAATGGAGTTGAATGCCTGCAAGCTCTCGAACGAGCAGACCAGCAAGGAAGCTGACCATGACGCAAGCATGCTGAATCATCGGACCCACCCCAGTCAATGATGCCAGGTATAGAGAGCCACCATTCTGCACTCTTTTGAGCTGTGTGCCTGCCAAATAGACTGCAAGCTAGAGCATGTCTCTCCAACTTAGGATTCTTCCATTAGAGAGTGATTTTTAGTTGTCTAGTACGACAGCTGGTGTTCCTTTAACTACCATCTATCCCCTCTGGTCCCGCAGCTGCTGTGCTCGCGGCGGATCATTCTCGCCTATTTAAATAAACTAAGCTTATACTCATGCAAGTCCCTTTAGCAGCTCGCTTCTCAGCATTAGTAGCCCGCGAATAACAGTTACGTCCAGTCACGTCCCAGCGAATAATAAGGCTTTATTCCAGCGCACTTTTGTGTCGCATCTTATTGGCTGCGAGGCACGCAGCACCCAGCGACAGTCCGACCACAATCAGCCGTCTCACAATCATCTCGCGATTACCTCTAGCCCTGCTTCACCAGCGTATTCCTGATAGTATTTTCACGACGAAGGTTGCGCGGAGAGGACTATCAGCATAACCTGGAGACGCATAGCCTTCAGAGCGCACCCAACCCGCGCTCGCCCGTACGCCAGCAGGAAGCGGAAGTCCGCGCAACAATGGGCGCGGCTATCGCGCCAGCAGCTGGAGACGGCTGTGGCCGAAAGGTGGGCGCGCGCAAGCGGCCCGCCGATTTAAACCAGGGTCCCTGGGTTCGTCGCGCGCAGTCGCTCGGTCGCCTGTGGTGGCCGCTCCTCCCGCTCTTGCTCTTCGTCATGATCATCACACATGGCCAGCTGCTCGCTTTCCTCTTCCTCCGCATTTCCCCGAACCCCATCTCCGCATCCTCCGCCGCGTTTTCCGCTTCTTCCGTCTCCGCCACAGCCGCTGGACTCGTCAAATCCGTCCGTCAAAGTATTTCGGCGTTCTCCTCTTTCTCCTCCGCAGCCGCCGCCAGCGGCCGAATCGCGTGGTTGTTCGCCGTGGTTCTTATCCGCGGCGTGTGCGAGCCGATAGCGGCGCTACTGCTGCTCGACTCGCTACTGCTCACGCTCTCCGGTCTCGTGCTCTGGCACAGGGCACGACGGCAAGAGCGCCTGCAGACAGCAGCCGCAATTCGCGCCAGAGCTAATAAGAGAGCTACTACGGCTCCTAACGGGGTAGATAGCGCGGTTGTTGGCAGTGGTGACGTGTGGGAGGAGAGTGGTAACAGCATGGCGGTTAACTTGGGCGTCGCTGCACCCGCCGGTTGCGACTGGGATGGCGCCGCCGCGTCCGCCGCGTCCGGCGGCGCGCTCCCCGCGACGTCCACGTGGCCCGCCGTGCTGGTGCAGCTGCCCATGTACAACGAGCGCGAGGTGTACGCGCGCGCGATCGCCGCGGCGTGTAATCTGGAGTGGCCGCGGGGGCGGCTCGTGGTGCAGGTGCTAGACGATAGCACGGACGCGGAGATTTCGCGCGGAATGCGCGCGGAGGTTGCGCGGTGGCGGAGCAAGCTAAGGTGCGGGGGCGCGAGCAAGGGCGCGCGGAACAGCTTCGGCGGAAGCATCGACGTGCGGTACCGCCACCGCACGGACCGCACGGGGTACAAGGCGGGGAATCTCCGCGAGGGGCTGACGGAGCCGTACGCGCGCGCATGCGCGTTCGTCGCGATTCTCGACGCGGATTTCGAGCCTTCCCCCGACTGGCTCCTCCGCTCCGTCGCGCCGCTCGCGCGCGACCCGCAGCTCGCGCTCGTGCAGACGCGCTGGGCGTTTAGTAACGAGTCGGAGTGCCTACTAACGCGTCTGCAGGCCGTGGAGCTCAAGTGGCACTTCTTAGCGGAGCAGCTGTTCAGCTCATCCGCGTTACAGTGCTTCGGCTTCAACGGCACCGCGGGCGTGTGGCGCACAGCGGCAATCACGGACGCGGGGAGCTGGCGCGACGACACGACCGTCGAGGATATGGACATCGCAGTCTGCTCCGCGGCGAAGGGATGGCGCATGCGGCTCGAGCCCACCGTGGAATGCGCGAGCGAGGTCCCCGCGGGATACGGCGCGTACAGGAAGCAGCAGCACCGGTGGACGAGCGGCCCCGCGAATCTGCTGCGGCTGCGCGGCGGGGTGGTGCTTACCGCGGAGCGGTCCGCGCTAAGCTGGCCCGCTAAGCTGTATTTCGTGGGGATCTACATGTTTCTTCGCCGGGCTGCCCGCCACTTGATAGGAATCTCCTTCTGGCTCTTCGTCCTGCCCGCGTATCTCTTCTCCTCCGCGCTCCCGTCCGCCTTTTCCTCCGCCTCCACTTCCGCCTCCGCGTTCCCCTTCCCCTGGGCAATGGCTGCGCTGGTGCTGGTGTACCCGCTCTGCCTGTTCGCATTCTCCCCCTCGAAGCTCCGCCTGCTCCCCGCGTACTTCCTCTTCCTCGGCGCGCTCCTCCCGCTGCGCGCGTACGCCACGGTGGCAGGACTGCTCAACCTATCCAGCTCGCACACGTGGGACGTAACTCAGAAGCTGGGCCGGCGCGGCGCGGGCGGCGCGAAAGGAGAGGAGGAGGCGCATGGGGATGTGGAGGGTGAGGGGGAAGAGGAGACGAGCGAGGAGGAGGTTTTGCTGAGTGCGGGTGAAACGAGTGAGGAGGGGGGAGAAGAGGGGGATACAGAGGAACAGGAGGCACATGATTCAGAGGAGGGTGAAAGGGAGAGTGCTATTGGGCAACGGGAGCTGAGATTGCGGCCGAAGCGGGCTAGTAAGGCAAGCCGCGATGCATCCATGACGTCAGCAGCATCATGCTCCTCTTTTTCCTCTTCTTCCAGTGCTCCCTCCCTCTCCTCCTCCACCACCTCCTCTGCCCCATCCTCTCCTGCCCCTCTCTCCCCACAACCCTCGACAGTGGAGTTGATGTCTCTCTCTGCTCCGTCCACAGCAGCTGCAGTAGCAGCAGCACTGGCAGCACAAGAAGCAACTGTGAGAAAAGCAGGAACTGCGTTTATGCCAGAGCTGCTGTTTGGCTGCTATCTGCTGCTGGTTGCTGCTGCGGGGATGGGAATGAAGGGGGTTGGAGCTTTGGTGAGGCCAGGAGAGGGCTCAGGAGATGCTGCTTGGTGGCTAACAACAGGAGTAGTGGCCTTGCAAGGAGGGTGGGCAATCTGGGCCGGATTGGGAAACCTGGGCATTAGTGATTGAAATTGAGGCCTGAGTAGGTTACATGGATTACAGGTGGTTGGTGGAAGGTGGCGTTTGAGTTGGTCGTGAGGTTGTGTTTCTGATATTGGTGCTTTTGTGTGAGGTGGCTTGGTATGAGGTGCCTATTGCAGGCACCATTAGCGCTAGTGTACAACGACAATAGAGGGTTAGCCTGCAAAACTGATAAATTAAACCAACTAGCCTTTACTTTTAGTGTCTTCATTTGGTGTTTGGCATGGCTTCAAACTGATGCAATGCCATGATTAATAGTGAGTTCTCCAGTTCCCTCGACAATAAGATGCCCGCTTCACGGTTACTGAAGTAGTCTTTTCATTTTGTAGAGAAAGGATATTCTGAATCGAAGCAGTAATCCTTGCTCGTACCCATACCTGTTTCAGTGTGACCATTTGCTCCCACAGTTCTGGAAATACTTGCTGGCCTTGCGAAATGCTTGGGTGAGAGTGGCTGGGCAAAACTCCTGTGCCATGTGGCGCGATTTGGTGCCTCATCCACTTTGACACGACAGGCAACATGCCAGTTGCTGGGACAAGTAAAAAGATACCAGAAGTGCTCATCGACATGGATCATGCTGACGTAAACCCTAACACGAGACTCACATGCCAGGTAAGCAGCTTGTTTGAGATTGACCCTCAAGAAATGTCCTTTTCAAATCTACCGTGTCGCTCCCTGACTCGAGGGCTGGCTTCCTTTCCCTACCACGTGGAATATCGGTGCTGAAAGTTCCAGGGTGCCCCCAATGGCCACGTCCATCTCCAAACACTGAAATCGCGTCCAATCCTCTGTTGACAACTACACAGGCTCATCATCATGATCTGTTTGGGCGGGCAAACAGCAGCGGCCATTATCTTTGATACTCAGATTTCGCCTGAGCGCGTTCTCAGGTGTAATCACCAGCAGAAACACAGTTTTTCGATATAGTGTGAATCTATTCTGTGTGATGTTTGTATACAATCACTCAAAAAGAGGAAGTCTAGCACTTGCAATAAATAAATATAATGCCCGTAGCGAACCTCTATGTTTTCCGGGAAGGATCAACCCTAATCACCGAAAGCCTCCAAATATTTTGGAAAAAATATTGCAACCCACTTGACCAAAAAAAAAAAAAACCACCTCGGAAAAGGATGCGACTCGGGAGGCATCAACCCTGAAAACAATGCCCAGTTCCGTGTTTAGGGCTGATCCTTCTCGAAAATGCATCCAGGTTCCCTAGGGTTTTTATTTTTTTTCTGCCATGGCCGAATAGGTCTCTGTAGCGTCGTCTAGTGCTTTCGGAAGCGTTGTTTAGCGGTCAGTTGCGCTACTGAGCACTACCAAGTGAATTATATGGGCTTCATTCTCTTACTACCTTAATTTCCGTACATATATCCAGGTCGGGAGGGTAAAGTGGATGGTTTTGTTTTTGTCACCTCCTAATGAGTTCGACCAGCGTGAGAAATGTGACTAAAACGCGATGACCAATCAACGTTGAGAAACTCCAGGCTGATTACACCTGAGAGCACGCTCAGGCAAAATCTGAGTATCAAAGATAATGTCTGCAAACAGCAGTGTAGGGAGATCAATTCCCAAGATGCAAATCTCGACGTCGCATGTGTGGAACAAACGAGCTTCCTCGGGCCTCGTCATTTGGGACGAGTTGAAAAAACCGTAGTAACGTAGAAACCCTACCCAAGCGCAAAGAACCGTAGAAACGTCGCTTCGGAATGCACAGCATCGCACTCCAGCGACAAATCTAGAAGCGGTGAAAGATCATAGACGCGACGTGATGCAGATGATAGGAGATGAAAGACATGCACCAGTACCGCAGCAGAGTTAAGTCTCAAGGTGGATTGATTGGCCAAGGCAAGGCAAGGACAGAATGGTGTAAAATCAAGGGCCAGAGCAAGCAGTCCTTCCTTCTGCTTTTCAAATCTCATTTCTGGTTTTCTTTCCTGGTCAGGGCAGCAGCACATACCATGGCTTGGAAGAAACGGTGTACGACATGACATGGCCACAATGCTATTGAGAACTAATTCTTGCGCGAGGAGAACCCGTGCGGATCAGTTGTGCTGTGTTCAGTAACACGATATTTTGGTTGCTGAAGGCCAGTCCTTAGAATCCAGGTCGTGAAATCAGTGTGCACAGTGAGCAGCGAAAGTACGTCTTTAGTCTCATCTATGCAGATTCAGTTGACGTCGATTTTCTGATTTCCACAGAGAGAACGTTTTCCGTCAGGCAAACTCTCACCTAATTCGTCGATAACTTCGCTGTACTCACGCAACAAGCTCGTCAAGCGTTCCGTGTCCTTGCACTAACGTAAACGGAGAATCTGTAGTGAGCTCTCTTGCACTACGTCGACCTCCTCGAGACGCTTTTGCCCGGTCTTACCTCACCGGAAAAGTACCCACCACTACGCTTAAAAACGCATCACTGTAAACGAATTACGGGCTGTTGCTCTTAAGGCAAGCCGGCTGTCAATCCTGACTCTGCTCAGAGTTCGCACGCTCCTGAAATTTCTCGGTCAGTGACGGGGTAGGAAGTCGCGACTACTACACAAACAGCGAGTGTCAACGGGAGGATAGGTGGCAGCACGGGAGGCTCCTCTGGTGCATCCCCCGGTGCATGGCCGTCCCTCTCAACCTCACCTAACGCCGTTCCCTTGCTTGATACCGCATTCAGCCGTTCCTCCGCCTCCTCGCCAATTCCCACCTGCTCCCAGCGCCCACCGCGTCGGTTCCTCTCTCCGTCCGCCCTGCTACCACCGCGCAACCCATGGCTCAACCCATGCCTCAGAGCATGAACCAGGGCGTGAACCACGCCGTGACTCACGGCGTGAACCAGGGCATGGGCCAGCCAGGCATGAATCAGGGCGCGAGTCAAGGCGGAATGAGTCACCCGATGGGCCAAGGCATGGGCCCTGGTCCGGGGGGGATGCTACAGCCGGGGCCTGTGATGCAGTATATGCAGCAGCCGAACAGCAACCCCATGCCCGTGCAGTCACCCGCTCAGCCAGGTGAGGGGGGAGACAGAGTGAGAGAGATGGTGAGAGGAAGAGAGACGGGGTGAGAGAAATGGTGAGAGGGAGAGAAATGGTGAGAGGTGGAGAGATGGCGTTTAGGAGAGAAATGGTGCGAGGGAGAGAGATTGCGTTTAGGAGAGAAATGGTGCGAGGGAGAGAGATGGCGTTTAGGAGAGAGATGGTGAGGGAGAGAGATGAAGTGAGGGAGAGGCTTCCCCTCTTTCTTCCCCCACCACCCTTACCATCTCCCTCTCCCCTGGTCCACCCCCCTCCTCTTTTCAGCAGCGCAGTCGCAGATTGTGTGCACGGGGTGCCGCACGCTGCTCGTCTACCCCAACAACGCCGCCAACGCCTCCCCTCTCCTCCTTCCCCTCCCCTCTTCCCACTTTCCCTATCCCCTCCCTCCTTGCCGTGCAGCAGCGCAGTCGCAAATCGTGTGCACGGGGTGCCGCACGCTGCTTGTCTACCCCAACAACGCCTCCAACGTCCGCTGCGCGCTCTGCAGCACCATCACGCCCGTGCCGCAAGCAGGTCAGGTCGGGCCATAACAGGTCAGGTCCGGTCAGATCAAGTCAGGTTTGTTCAGGTGAGGTGACGTCCTGGTTCAGTTCGGTTTGGGTCGGTAAACTTTCCTGCTTTCTGATTGAGCTGTGTGATAGTCACATGCCCGTTGCAACAGCACCATGACCCCCGGTAGTACCAGCATTACAAGTGGGTTGGGTGTGGTTGGGTAGGTCTGATTCAAATCCAGCCACATGTTGGGTAGTAGCACCCCATGTCCTCATGGGTTCCTCATGTCATCAATGCTCTGCACTGCCCACTCACGTTCTGAATGCCCCTCCGCCCGCTGCTCCATACCAGGCACGGAGATGGCGCAGCTGGTGTGTGGGGGCTGTCGCACGCTGCTCATGTACGTGAGGGGCGCCACTAGCGTGCAGTGCTCCTGCTGCCACACCGTCAACCTCTCCTCCGACCGTGAGTCTAACTCCTACGTCCACCTGCTCCCACCGTGTCTCCACAGCGTACCCGTGCTCCCACCCGCTCCCACCTTCTCCCACCTGCTCTGCACAGCCACCTGCTCGTGCCACAGGGGTGCCCTGGCTTGCTTGCATGCCTGGTCCGCACTGCCTGCATCGGCGATGGGATGCACCTCCTGTTGCCTCCTCCAACACACTGACTCTCCCTCACCCTCGGAGTTTTTGCCCCGTCCCTACTCCGTCACCCTCTCCTGCTCCCGCGATTGCATGACGCTCCCCCATGCACTGAGAACCTGCACTTTCTATTGTTTCCTCCACACACCTTCTGCACAACCCCATCCTCTCTCTCGTTCCCCCTCCTCCTCCCTCTCCTTCTCCCCAATCTCTCCCCCCAGACCTGCAGCAAACCACGTGGCGCACATCAACTGTGGGGGCTGTGGCATGACGCTCGTGTATGCACAAGGGATGTGCACTTCTGCTGCTTCATCCACTCAGTGACTCCCTCTCACAATGCACTCTCTGTTGCTTTCTCTCGCCCCCCACCCTGCAGCAAACCAAGTGGCGCACATCAACTGTGGGGGCTGTGGCATGACGCTCGTATACGCCATGGGTGCACGCAGCGTCAAGTGCGCCGTGTGCCAGTTTGTCACCCAAGTCATGGTGCGTGCTACTTGTTTAAGTGAACTCATTTCTGAGTTGACTACTTAGGTGATTCCAGAGTCAACTCGAAAGCTGGGTGCATTTAACGTCAAGTGTGACGTGTGCCAGTTCGTGACCCAAGTCATGGTGCGTACAGCTCAGTCACTGTACGGCTCAGTCACTGTACGGCTCAGTCACCGTACCGCTTGCTTGCTCTGATTCGGTGGCCGTGCTTCCATGATCCATCCCATGCTCAAATTCATGGGCTTGGCCCTGCATGCATTAGTCTCGATTGCCCATTCTCGAGTCATAGGCAAGTCTGAAGCGTGGAGTGTGCTACACACTCCCCTCTAGTGATTGCATCACAGCCTAGGCTTCCCCAATTGACTTTTGAGAATTCTCAGAAGCCATTGCAGTGATCGCATCACACCCTTGGCCTTGCTGAATCTGCTTTGTTTGTACACGAAGTTTGAGCACCCTGTGCCTGAGACTTAAAGTGTGCGTGGCGATGCTGGTTTGTGTTTGCTTTTTGCGTGTTGCAATCTGTGATGCAACAGGTGCCACCAGCAAACATACAGCCATTACAGCAGCAGCAGCAGCAGATGCAATCACAGCAACAGCAACAGCAGTACACACAGCAGCAGCAGCAGCAGCAACAGCAAGTGCAGGTACATGCGAGTTTTCTCCCTAGTTATGCTTTTTCCTTTACTCCTACGTCTGCCTCCAAACATCCTTCATGCACGGATCCCAGTTTTGTTCTTTGCTCTTGTTCCCTCCTTCTCCCATGTTCCCCCCTGGGCAATCCTTCACACTTCCCCTCCATCTGCCTCTCCTCCTCTCTCCCCGTTTCCCCACTTCCTTCCATACCCGAACCACACTTTTGGCCTTCTTTCCATCCTTTCGCACCCATCATTTTCTCTCTATACCCAAAACTTCAGACACAGCACATGGGCAACAGGACGTGAAGGAAGCATCACATCTGTATGCTGTGAGAGGTATTGCAGCATGGAAGGAACGCACTGGAGTGCAGTTAAGCGCGGTGGCATGCAGTGGAGTGCGGTGCAGAGGAATGTGGTGGATGGCGGTGCGTGCGGTGAAGTGCGGTGGCTTGCGGCGGTGGACGCATCGGAGCAGCGGATGGGATGGGCCTGGATTTATCTGTGTTGCTGTGCCGTGCCGCCACGGCATAGCCCTCTGTGTTCTGTGACAGCAGTTGCACAGGGTTGCTGTGGCAGGGTTGCTGTGGCAGGGTTGCTTGCAGTCACCCTGCTTCAGCTGCTGCATCCAGCAGCTACCGCACTGCTGAATGCTGCTGCTGCACCAGCTGAGTCGGAGGGAGAAGGGGGTCAGTTGCATTGCATGGTCGCATCAGAAAACGTGTCTGCTGCATCAATCAGAGCCTGGAAATGAGAGAAATAAGTGCAGCCAGACTACCGTATCATTCAATTTTGTAGCAGCTTTATCATTCAATATGTTGTTTGTTAGAACCACCAAAAGTGGAAAAGGGGCGCTACAATCAAATACGGTAGTAGCAGAAACTGTGACGCATAAACAGAGAAGTATGCAGGGGAGATTGTTGCATCAGACGCTGCTGCTCTTGCTTGCATCATGCAGCAGTGAGCTCAGTGCAGAGCTGGTATACTCCAGCACAGAGGAACCGAGAGTCGTCACACAGAGAAACACAACTACCGGTAATTTGCAACAACGGCATGATATTGACCAGTGCCAATCCCAATGCACTGATTTGTGGCAAGGTGCTGTAGCTGAACTGAGACTGTTTCACAAGCTACATAGCATTAGCAAATTCAGTGCAACCTCTAAGAAAGAGCTTACTTGGTAACAAACAAGCTCATCCACAGCAGTGGATGAAGCAGCAGCCTGTTCATATCGAGTAAACCCTGTGAAGTGAAGTGTACTGTACACGCCTGCCTGCAGGCAGTAGGTACAACCAACCAACGCACCCTAGTGTACCGTACCTACGTACGTCCTACCGTGCAAGCAATTTACCAGTAGGAATCTACAGAGAGATGGTGGTAGTGAGATGGTACTGTATCAACTGAGTTGCTGCTTCTGGTTTTCACTTCTCATCTCACTAGCAATACCACACTTGTCTTTTAAGGGATTATGTGCGATGCGAAATCCTTTCGGCTGGAGGAGTCCTAACACAACCCAACCTCACCTACCGGTACCAGTGCTCACTCCTTTCCACTCCACTACACAGGTGGTACCGTAAGCCCCCGGATAGAAGCGCAGGCCTCGGATAAGCGCCGGCGCGTATAAAAGGATGAGGGCGCTTATATCCGCTCCTCGATTATAAGCGCATGCTTCGAGCCTTACGGATTATAAGCGCACCCCTACTACCATACACATTATAAGCGCCACCTTTTAAATACCACATTTTTAAGTTTTACGCTGTTACAATTAATATCCTACGTTTTCTCTTACTATCCGACTACATCTTCGCATTTTCTACATTTTCTACAACATTTTCACGTCTTACATATTTCTACTTTACCCACACAACCTAGGCATCCTCCTCAGCAGTGGCAGTGTCTTCGTCGGCGGTCTCACCGTCCGACTCTGGCTCGTCTACGTTGTTGCAGCAGAATCCATCTGCTGCAATCTCGTCGTCAAGATCCACTTCGCCTTTGACGGCGTCCCGCCGGTGCTGCAGGCAAAGACCGTCCTGAGACCCGTCCAAGGCGTTACTGATGCCGCAGGTCAGAAACGAGCGCTCAATCAACTCCTTGGGCACCGCCTTCCAGGCCTTGGAGATCCACTTGAGCGTCAGCTCTGGTGGTGGCTTGCGGATGTTGCCTGCCACACGTACCGTAGAAAGATTCATCAGTTAGAACAGGATCAATCATTGAAAAACAATCAGTCCTAAATCTTAATGCTCACCTCTTTCAGTCAGGCAGTCAACACCCTCGCTCTCGAACCATTCCTGGTACTGTTGTCGCACAGCTGCTTTGAAGGAGCGGTTCACCGCGACGTCCAACGGTTGCACCTCCGATGTGCAGCCAGCTGGTATGACGGCCGGCACGATACGCAGCTCGCCGAATTTCGCCCTCACTTGATCAGTCAGGTGCCCGCGGTAGGAGTCAAGCACCAACATCGCCCTCCTGTTGCGCACTCCGAACCTCGGGTGGACGTACGGGCCCACCGTACCGTCGAGCCACGCGAGGACGCCTTCCGCGTCCATCCAACCGTTGGGATGTGCGGCGACCACGACATCTGCACATCCGCAGAACGTTGAGATTGACATCAGTAAAAAAAAAAACAACACATGCAAATCCTACCGGGACTGCACAAGCTGCTCGGCTTACCGGAGGGGAAATTCCCCTTTGGAACTGTCTTGCGCTTAAAGAACACCCAGGGCTTGAGCTTCTCGCCGCTGGCGGTGCAGGCGAGCATCACCGTCACGCGTTCCTTTTGATAGCCGCCGCTGCGGATGGGCACGGAGCGGACCCCCACCTCCTCGACAGTGCGTTCAGCTGGCATTTCGAGCCAGAGCGGGGTCTGATCCGCATTAATGATCCAGCGGTTGTCGATTCCGTACTGTCGGCGGGTGTGTCGCACGAACTTCCAGAAGTTTCGCACTTGCGTCTTGCACTCTGGAAGGGACGGGGAGGCAGAAACCATAAAAAAACATTACCACATCGACCGGTTGGCAAAGGGGATAAACAAGAGCGAATAAAACACGCCCACTCACCGGAGGATAGTTTCTGGCCGACACGGGTCTTCGCTCGGGTAGTGAGATTCCAACGGCGCCGAAAACGCTCGGTCCACCTCTGAGATCCCGCCCACTTTACCTCAGGATGCAGGCTCTTCATCACCTCTCGCGACCACTGCTGCAGGCGGCCGACCGACACTGCGAGGCACTTTTTTCGGGCGGCAAGTACTCGTGAGTAGACCTGGATCTCCATGTCGCGATACCATGACGACCGACCACGCCCGTGAAGACGCTTGCGAGCCTCATGCGCGCCCTCCAGATCACCCTTCCGCGATTTCCATACTGCCAGGGACTTTCGGGAGATACCAGAGTCGCGTGCCATCTGCCGCATACTCACAGCACCGGACTCCAGCTGTGAAATCCAGTGCAGCTTCTCCTGGGAAGTATAGGAGTGCCGCTTGTGCCTTTAGCGCCTGTTCCTGGGAGACGGGGGGCGGGAATCACGATTCTGGGTGCAGGGGTGGGGCCTTTTTTTATTGGGCGGGGGAAAACTTGGGACAGGCAAGTCCTCGGGAAGACCGTCGGCCGCCCACCACTCAACATCGTCTTCGGCACCGGTGGCGGATTCGTCGTGCGGGCAGTCTTCCGGGTCTCCCCAACGTGGCGAAAGACCGGGACCGGTTTCATCTTCGTCGCTGCGCTCGGGCTCGTGCTCGGGCTCGGAGATGTACGCATCGAAAGCAGAGTAGCCGCGAGGGAGAAGCTGCAGAATGGGCACACCGTTGATGACGACGATAGGCGGAGCGGGAGGAGCAGGAGGCGCTGGAGGTGCAGGAGGCGCAGGAGGAGCAGGAGGCGCAGGAGGAGCAGGAGGTATTGGCGCTGGACGACTCTGCCACTTGGAGTAATCGGGAGCTTTGTCAGCAGCACCTCGGCGATTAAAGAGGAAATGGGTGCCTGGTCGGCCCGCCATAGCTAAGGCAGGCCGATGGGAAACAAGAAATCTGAAGAAAACAGGGAGAATGACGCATGTTTGAAACCCTTGCCCGAGACCCCTCCAACTTCGCGGCCCAGGTTCCTCTGCAGGCTAAGGGGAGAAACAGTCAAGATCTCCCCGCAGTGGAGCTGATGTGGTGAGGTCCAAGCATTGTTGGCAAGGAATCTTGCCGCATACCGTATGCCCCGTTTGTGGTTTTACTGCGTCGTGGCTAGCTCGACAGTCGGCCCTGATTGGGCAGTCGCACACTAAACTGCGTGTGCGTTGGCATGGGCCAGATTCGGTACGATGAATCTGGCCAGGCGAGCAAGGCGTGGCGGGCGTGATTCCACGCCTTGTTGGCAATTTGACGCGCGTTTCATGCACAAACTCGAACGTTCTAGATGTGGATTGAATCCCCGTTTGAAAAGGCTTCAAATACATGAAAAAAAAAACCATTTCAATTTTGACATTTTATAGTCGCCGGCGCTTATAAAATTCCTCAATTACCGTATAAGCGCACCCCCTAAAAAACAGTGTTTTATTATAAGCACAGGGGCGCTTCTATCCGGGGGCTGACGGTACCGACCAACGCTGCTGCGTTCACTTGTAACGCACTTCTCACACTGCTTCAGGTGCTGCTCCCGCTGCTGCACCTCCTGATGCAACTCCCTCTCCTTCCTCCCCCCGGTCCTCTTCTGCCCCGCCTTCTCTCTCACCCAGTACCTCCCCTCCTTTCAACAAGCCTCTCTCTCCTACCTCCTCACCCACCCCCTCTCCTTCCACACCTCCCATCTCAACTGCTCCCTCTCCTGCTGGCACTACCAGCACTGGAGGCACCGGCGGCAGTGGTGGTAGAACCCCTTGCTCCCTTAGCTGCGCCTCCCACTCCCTCAGCTGCTGCACAAACCCCGCATTCGGGTTCGCTTCGGGCCGCAGTCCTCTCACGAGCGCCAGAGCCTCATCCACAGTCATGGCGCGGCGGGCCATGAGATACGCCACCACCACGGTCACGCTGCGGGAGCGCCCGGCGAAGCAGTGCACGAGCGCACAGCCCCCCGCTGCTTTGGCTGTGTCGATAACAGCGAAACACTCTTGGAAGCGGGAGATGAGGTCTACTTCGGGGGAATCTAGAACTGCAGGAGAGGGGGACAGGTGGTAGTGAGGGGGGAAACGGGCGAGAGATGGAAGTGTGAGAAGAGGACAAGTGGCCTTGGCTGTGTCGATAACGGCGAAGCACTCTTGGAAGCGGGAGATTAGGTCCACTTCGGGGGAATCGAGCACTGCGGGAGAGGAGAGGAGGGGGGAAGGGGAGACGGGCGAGAGATGCAAGCATGAGAGGACGACAGGTGGAAAGATGAAGATGGGGGGCACGGGGGTGTAGGGGCATGGGTGTGGATGCCTCGGCAGCGAGCCATGAAGGAGAGTGAATAGATACCCTCCAACGCACCCCACTCTCACCATTGATGAGCGTGTAATGGAAGTCGCGGGGGTGCGCCGGCAGGATGGAGTTGGCGACTGTGAGCACGTGAGTCACGTTGCTGCGCTTGAGCAGGTCCCTGTTGTGCGCCGCGCCTATCGACCCCAGGTACAGGCCCTGGTGCACGAAGCACGAATATGCACACACACGCACAAGGGAGCGAAGTGAGAAAGGAAGTGAGAGAGGAAGTGAGAGAGTAAGTGAGAGAGGAAGTGAGAGAGGAAGTGAGAGAGTAAGTGAGAGAGGAAGTGAGAGAGGAAGTGAGGAGAAACGTCACACACCTCGTCCACAAGGCACGGGACGCTGTCTGTCTTGATGTGCCGTGCCTGCAGGAACGCTCTCAGCAGTGCCACCATGCGCGCCTTCTCCACCGCCCTCACCACCTCCACGTGCCGCGCCATGCGCTCCGCCACGCTCTCAACCCCTCCTCCCGCTTCGTCCCCTTCCCCTGCTTCCCCTTCTTCCCCTCCTCCTCCGTCCCCTCCCCTTCCCCCCCCACTTTCTCCTCCATCCCCATCTGCTCCTGATTCTGATCCTGCTCCTCCTGCTCTTTCTCTTTCTGCTTCCCCTTTCTCCTCCTCCCCCGCACACTTTTCTTGCTCCGCCCCGTCTGCTGCCCCTCCCCTCGCTCGTTCCCTCTCTTCCCCACCTCCCCTTGCGTCCCCCCCTCCGGTCTCCACATCTCCGCCATTAGCTCTCCCCCCCGCTCCCCCAAACCCTTCCGTCCCCTCCCGGATAGCTTCCCTCGCAGTGCCCCCCCGCTCCCCCCCATCGTCCGCATCCGCACCAGCCGCCTCTCTTTCCCCCACCTTCTCCCGCGCGCTCCCCCATTCCAATCCCCCGCCGCTTCCATCGTATTCTCCGCCACCACCAGCGCAAACTGCTCTCTCCTCCGCCGATCCCCCTCCCGCTCCGCCTGCGGAGGCTCCTCCGCCGGCCTCCGCTCCCCCGTGCGCGGCGCCCGATCCGCGCCGCGCACACCCAAACACTCCCCCGGTCTCGCCGCTGCCGGCCATTGGCTGCTCACGACTGTTTTTTATTCACTTATGCTTCTTTAACGTCTGCCTCGCCAAAAAACAAAAATCAAGCAGATCGCGGCTCAACAGCTTACTCGTCGTTGTTCACGACGTCTGCTCACTAATCGTCCACGCCTAGCAGAATTCGCGTAACTGCAGGTTACCGGATCGGATGCGACTCGGAAAGACGCCGCAAGGCTGAGCTATGGCTGAAGGCCATTATGCTAGCAGCGATTGGGATTGGAGCAGACAAGATGAATGATCGCGGGGGAGTTGGTTGTGGTTCAAGATTTCTCTCAATCCAGCAGTTCTAACTCCGGCTTCACTGAATACAGAATCATCCCATCACCCTTGGCACGTCAAATACACGGACCAATTCAGCGGCTCCGCGGAACAGACTCCGGAGGAGGGGAAACGGTTATCTGCGGTACAGCGCATGTCGATAGAAGTCAGTGACGGAGCTGAAGGACTTACTAATCAAGATCTTGGCAATAGTTTTTTTAATTAATGATATATATATACACCGAAATGAACAAGCATATATCACCATAACGGTCGTAACCGCGCGTGAGGAACAGAGGGTGAGCTACTGTTCCAGGTGAGACATTTACGAACTGGAGGTGCTTGCCCTCCGCCTGGACCACAGTGCGGCAAACGCACTTGTCCACTTCCAGCTTTTGCCAGCCAATTTGATCTTCCCCAACATATTCTGCTCCTCAGCGAAATTCCTCTTGTGTCGTTTGTGATGAGCCGCGCCAAACTTGCGGGTGTAGATGCGTGCATGCTGCCTGAATGCGAACTCAATCTTGTGGAGAACCCGATTCGTGCGAAACTTCTGGCCTCGGAAAACTGCTTCGCACCTTTCAACCCACAGCTGATGGAAGGCGATGGACGTGAGCGTCAGCTCCGGGAATGCTGAGCTGGAACCCATTTTCCGGAACAGCAGGTCCCCGAGCGTAGCTGTGGGGCGGTTGGGATTCAGCATGCGCAGGGCGTGCCTGAGAGCGGGGGTAACTGTCTGGATCCGAGGGCAGGTGAGGAGGCAGTGGTCCAGTGTTTCTTCTCCCCCGCAGTAAGGGCAGGATGGTTGCCCGCTGAGAAAAGCAAGGCGTTCCCCCACCTGCAAATTTAAGCCGTGGATTCGGAGGAGGACGTCACGTGGACGGCTGGGAACGGCCAGCGAGTCCCGTGTAGTCACCACCCGCCTCCAGTTAATGTGCCTTCCCCACCTTCTGGCCCACTTTTCCCTCTTGCGTGACTCCTGGTAGGCCGTTTTCCAGCACTCCCTCATCCTCTTGATGGGAATCACCCCCCCACCCTCTAGAATGTTCAGCGGAGGAGTAGAGTCAGCCGAGCAGGGGGGAGCTGAGGGAAAACCCAGCAGTTGCAACCACGCCGCTGGCATGGTGACTAGCGCCTTCACCGCAAGTCTCGCCGGACCGCTACCACCAAGTTGGCGCGAGAGCTCCCTCTGCTGCTTCAACACCAGCTCTCCTCCGATGTCCACCAGCAGCTCTCCGACGCGTGTTTCCAGGAGATTCTCACTATCTTTTTGTCCGCCGATAGGGGTGTGAAGCAAAGATGCTTTATTGAACACCAACCTCTCTCTTAAGACCGCTTCTCTGCTGTCCGCCGCTGGCCGGACACAGAACGGGGAGCTGATGAAGCTGTCACACGTTTGCTTCCATCTCATGCTTCTCCCCTTCCAATGTTTCAGCAGATGCGTATGAGAGGAGAAGGTGTCTATCCCTAGAGGAAGGTCTGCCGCTTGCGCCATGATCGCTTTCTTCATGGGGTTCCGTTCCGTGAGATACAGGCCCACTCTTCTGGCCGCGAGACAAGTAATCACGATCTCCGGGTCCTTTACACCGATACCCCCGGCCTCCCTTGGGGTGTAAAGCAGGGTTTTACTCTAGAGGATGAATCCCTTCACCGTCGCAACGCGGTTACCCGACGTGAAGCTCAGTAACAGTCTGATGACCTCCTCCCATATCTCCGCCGGTGGGGGGTAAATTTGCGCTTGGAATGCCAGAAGTGGAGTGATGTAACCGTTGACGACTGTAGCTCTCGCTGTCGTCGTGAGGTATTTCAGCTGCCATTTTGTTAACTTCCCCATGATTTGTTCCCACGCCTTTTCCCAGGTCGGCAAGCCGCTTCCGGACGGTGTCACCCAGACCCCCAGCAGCCGCTGTGCTTCATCCGCATCGGAACACTTGAAGCAGCTGGAGCCATCACCTTTCGCACCCAAATTCACACCCAGAGGTAATAAAACTGATTTCGCTTTGTTAGTCGCCAAGCCAGACGCTTTCTCGAACTTGTCCAGTACCTCCTCCGCCTTGACGATCTGATCCTCTCCTTGCAGGGCCAGCGTTGTATCGTCGGCGTAACCAAGATAGTTGAAGCGCAGTCCCTGCTTGGACAACCCGAGCTCCTGTCTCTCCACTGTCAAAAGTTAGAAGAAGAAAGAGGGTTGAACTAGCTGAAATGGGGACACAAATAGCAAACCCTAGAAGGGTTGTACTCGCTATAGAGCACCCCACTACAGGCTAGAACATAAGAATAACATTCTGACACACCCCCATAGCCAAAGTGGGGTGTAATCAGCAGAGCAAGCAAAGCAGTACAAGCTCAGGGTGGATCACAATGTCACCACACATTCTGAGCACAAGTTCAAGAAGCAAGTTCAAGTGCACAATTATCAGCAAAGCTAGTGGTGGTCACAACGGGCAAGTGAGGAGGAGGAGTGAGAGCGAGAGGAGTTGGGAGGCGACGGCTGAAGCTGCAGACACACGGGCAACAGGAGGCACACTGGCACAGCGGCTACCGGGCGAAGCCCCCGGACTACTGGAGTAACTGGCCCCGCGGCTAAAGTAGCGGCAGACGAGCAACGGACCCACGGGCGGCTGGCACAGCTGGCTACGACTGGGCTACCGGGCGAAGCCCCCGGAATACAGGTGCTGCTGACGACACGACGGCAACCTCCATGCAGCTTCCCTAACTATCCAACTCCCCCAACACACACCCGCTGATACACCCCTAGCTCCACTCCCACGCACCCCCCTTAAACCTTAAACCCGAGTCTCCCACACAACCACCCCCCTCAGCGACAGCTGCAGCAGTGGGAGACGGAGGAGGAGGAGGAGCAAAGGGAGGAAGGCCCACCGAGCACCCCCATACCCGCCACCCAACAGCTCGCCCCTCCCGTCGTCCGTCGTGGCGACCTGAGGGGGCCGCTTGCGGCCCCCGAAGGAGCCGCGACGGGCGACGGGAAATGGCAGGGAGGGGAGAAAAGGGGGGAGGGGGGGGGGGGGGGGGGGGGGGGGGGGGCCGATGCCGCGACGAGGGGCGGGGCCGCGACGGTCGGGGCCGCGACATAGGGCGGGGCCGCAAAGGTAGGGCGGGGCCGAGCCGGGCAGGCGCACGGGCGGCGACGGGCCGGGGCGGGGCCGCGACGTAGAGCGGGGCCGAGCCGGGCAGGCGCACAGGCGGCGACGGGCCGGGGCGGGGCCGCGACGAAGGGCGGGGCCGAGCCGGGCAGGCGCACGGGCGGCGACGGGCCGGGGCGGGGCCGCGACGTAGAGCGGGGCCGCGTCGAAGGGCGGGGCCGCGACGGTCGGGGCGGGGCCGCGACGTAGGGCAGAAGCCCGCCGCGCGCCTCGGGGCGCACAGCGGGTAAAGAACCGCCGCGCGCCTCGGGGCGCACGGCGGGCAGAAAACCGCCGCGCGCCTCGGGGCGCACGGCGGGAGGAAAAAAAAGTAGCAGCGGAAGCGAGGTGGGGACACACCCACAGGATCGATCCAAAGGGATCGACCTGCTCTGATAGCATGTCAAAAGTTAGAAGAAGAAAGAGGGTTGAACTAGCTGAAATGGGGACACAAATAGCAAACCCTAGAAGGGTTGTACTCGCTATAGAGCACCCCACTACAGGCTAGAACATAAGAATAACATTCTGACATCCACCTCCCTTGCCAACGGCTCTACTGCGCAGAGAAACAGGTAAGGGGCTAGTGGATAGCCTTGCCGCACTCCCGACGCCACCTCTACTCCTTTGCCCAGCCATCCGTTGACCAACAACTTTGTTGATGTATTGTCATGCAGACCCTTAATCCATCCAACGAAGCGCGCTGGAAAACCCATCCGGGACATTACTTCAAACAGGAAGTCTCTCGATACCGAGTTGAAGGCTTTCTGGAAGTCCACCAAAATGAGGAACCAGTCCTCGTTGCCATTCTTCGCGGCGTCAATCACGTCAGCCACCAAGGCCACCGCATCCGATAGGCGCCGCCCCGGAATGAAGCCGTATTGCTCCGGGGAGATGACCATGTGAAGAACCGACTTCATCCTGTCGGCAACCACCCTCGCCAGGACTTTATAGGTGAAATTGAGCAGGGTAATCGGTCTGTAATTGTTGAGCTCGTCCTTCTGTGAAAGTTAGAAGAAAGAAGAGGGCTTTGACTAGCAAGAATGGGGATACAAATAGCAAACCCTAACAGGGTTGTACTCGCTATAGAGCACCCCACTACAGGCTAGATAAGAACATTCTGACACACCCCCATAGCCAAAGTGGGGTGTAATCAGCAGAGCAAGCAAAGCAGTACAAGCTCAGGGTGGATCACAATGTCACCACACATTCTGAGCACAAGTTCAAGAAGCAATAGTTTAAAGTTAAGAATTATGAGCAAAGCTAGAGGCTATCGCAGAGGGCAAGTGAGGAGGAGGAGGCGAGAGTGAGAGGAAAGGAGATAGGAGGCGACAGATGAAGCTGCAGACACACGGACAACAGGAGGCAGACTGGCACAGCGGCTACCGGACGAAGCCCCCGGACTACAGGGGTAACTGGCCCCGCGGCTAAAGTAGCGGCAGACGAGCAACGGACCCACGGGCGGCTGGCACAGCTGGCTACGACTGAGCTACCGGACGAAGCCCCCGGACTACAGGTGCTGCTGGCGACACGACGGCAGCCTCCATTCAGCTTCCCAAACAGTCTCACCCCCCCTTGCACACACCCCCTACTGCACCCCTAGGGTCACTCACACCCCACCCCCTAGCACGACTCCATCGACTCCCACACACCCACCCCCCTCAGCAGCAGCTGCAGCAGTGGGAGACAGAGAAGGAGGAGGAGCAGGGAAGACCACACACCCGCCACCCCCATACTCGCCACCCCCTACTCGCCACTCCCCAAACCCTAACAGAGGCAGGGCGGGATGGCGGGTAGGGAGGTTACGGGGGAGGGGGGGGGGGGAGAGCCGACGCGCGGCCTCCCAGGGCGCCAAGACAGGCAGCAGAAGGGGGACGGCGCTCGCCCCCCTCCCCCAGCTGCCCCCGAGGGTCGCCTCGACAGGCGACGGGAAAAGGGGCCGCAGGCGGGACCGGGGCCGGGACGGACGGCGCACGGGCGGCGTGGGGCCGGGACAGCGGCATGGGGCCGGGACGGGCGGCGCACGGGCGGCGACGGGCCGGGGCAGGTGGCGCACGGGCGGCGACGGGCCAGGGCAGCTGCGCGGGGCCGGGACGGGCGGCGCACGGGCGGCGACGGGCCAGGGCAGCTGCGCGGGGCCGGGACTGGCGGCGCACGGGCGGCGACGGGCCGGGGCTGGCGGCGCACGGGCGTCGACAAGCCGGGGCAGCGGCGCACAGGCGTCGACGGGCCGGGGCAGCGGCGCGGGGCCGGCGTGCGGGTCCCCGTCGCCCGTCGCAGCGCCTCCCGAGGGCGACGCGCCGAGCGACGAGGCAGAAGTCCGCCGCGCGCCTCGGGGCGCACAGCGGGGAGAGAACCGCCGCGCGCCTCGGGGCGCACGGCGGGCAGAAAACCGCCGCGCGCCTCGGGGCGCACGGCGGGAAGAAAAACTGCCGCACGCCACGGGGCGTGCGGCATAGAGAGTAGCAGTTGCAGCGGAAGCAACGAGGTGGTGGGCCCACCCACAGGATCGATCCAAGGGGATCGACCTGCTCTGATAGCATGTGAAAGTTAGAAGAAAGAAGAGGGCTTTGACTCGCAAGAATGGGGATACAAATAGCAAACCCTAACAAGGTTGTACTCGCTATAGAGCACCCCACTACAGGCTAGATAAGAACATTCTGACACCTTCTCCTCTTTCTTATGCAGCAGAATAGTGACCGCTTCTTTGGTCTCTGTTGGCAGGGTGGCTGACGCCTCGAAGCTCTTCACCAGGGCCATGAAGCTCCCCCCCAGCAAATCCCAGTGCACCTCAAAGAGTTCCTTTGGCAACCCGTCTCCCCTCGGTGATTTATTTTTTGCCATTGCTGCGAACGCCTTTTTAACTTCCTGCTCCATCCAATCTGCTGACACAATCTCCGCAACTTCACCATCCAACCGCCGAAGTGAGGAGAGGTCCCAGTCGAAGAAGTCAGATTGGCGGTCCTTGCCGAAGATGTTCTGGAAAAACGCAGAGGCTGCGTCCAAGATCTGCTGCGAGCCGGACACCCTCTCTGCACCGACCTTAAGCTCCTTGATCTGAGTACGAGCTTTCCGTGCCCGAACCTTCGCCGACAAGTGCTTCGAAGCCAACTCCCCGGTGAGTTCCGCTGTAAGGCCAGACTGAAGGTACAGACGCTCGGTTCTCGCGGTATTGTACTCCTGTAGCTTTGTCTCCCTTGCCTCCAGAAGCGCTCTTGTGACTGCGCAGTCCAGATTCCACGTCATTTCCTGCTTTAACAACGCCATCATGGTAGAAAGATGCAGAAGCGTCTTCCTAACTCGTTTGCTCTCCTCTTTTGCGTAAGATCTGAGCCCCGCTCCCAGGCGCTTCAGGAGCAACTCGAAGCTG